TTCATTATATATATATATATATATATATATATATATATATATATATATATATATATATATATTTAATATATGCTATATTGCTATATTTATGGGTAAATGTGCTCAATATCTGACATGAAGCGGTTTAACAGAGTTCAGCATAAAGAGGCAACAATCTGTTTTCATATATATATATATATATATATATATGTGTGTGTGTGTGTGTGTGTGTGAAAAGTGTGTGTATATAAATATAATTAAAATATATATGTATAATTATTTATATATTATATGCGCTACCAGTATCACAAACTCACATCTATCCAATATATATATATATATATATATATATATATATATATATATATATATATATATATATATATATATATATATATATAGAGAGAGAGAGAGAGAGAGAGAGAGAGGAGGAAAGATAGATAGATATGGGGACATTGGTTAGTGTTTGACAGGAAAATATCTGAAAAGATGAGAAGTTTTCTTGTCTTTATTGCATGAAACATTCGCGATATTATTTTATTTTATATTATATTTTCTGTGTCGTCTTCTGTAGATTGCTTTTGTTCTTAACGCTTTGGAAATCTTCTATGCATTATTTTACCCCCCCCCCTTATCGTTTCCTGTTCATATCAGGATTTCATCTGCTTGCTCGCGTGCATCTTAAAATCAGTCCTTACTCATACATTTAAATGAATCCCTTCACCTTAAAACGATTGACAAATCCCAGCATCAGAAATCTCCACCTGACGCCGAGGTCTCAGCTGACACATAGTTAAGCCAAACTCTCTTAATTATTTACAAAATATTTATAGTAAGAAAGAATTTGTATATCTGTTTCCTTTTTTTTTTTTTTTTTGTGAGGGCGAGATTTAAATAAAAAATATTGGAGAGATTATTCAGTTCAATATCAACAATATTGATGCTATAGAAGGAAATTATTCGAACTCTTTTCAACATCAACAAGAAATTATCTATCATTTATTTTCTAGATTAGTATTTTAGTAGAAAACCATGGTAAACACGTGAACCGAATAGACATACATCAATAATCATTTGCATTCACAGTCACTTATGGGCCATGCGTGATGAACGCTTAGGCGATCATGTATCTTTCGATACATGACTGACGAGGCAGATTTTTCCGTAGTAGCTTGCTATTTCTTTCTGCTGTAGAACAGTTATCATCCACGGCTATAGAACCCGGTCTGTCCTGCTATTTACCCATAGCTGCGGGAAGAAAAAGAGGTTAATAACTTTCCCAATATTATTAGCACGGAAGTGAGTGTAACGGATTCGACTGTGATTCAATGTAAATCAAATTTATATTTACGTATACCTTTTATTATTTCTTAAGTTCTAACTGATTTGCAGGGACATCATTAGATTATATCTCGAGTTGTTTGTAACACATTTATGTATCATCTCTCAGTTGCGTCTCTGTCTTTGAGCAGTGTGCAATCAGGGACGACACTGTCAAGGGACTATATTTAGTCGCCCCACCACGAGGGCGTCATGTGGCACAAGGCCTTTTTAACGTGGGCATTTCCGAGCCATTAGGGACAGAGTCAGATGTGAGGAAAATTATACTGAGAGGTGCCCAGTCCTGGGGAACAGCTGCCCGAGGTAGCGCCCTATCATTGCATCAGAGAGAGGGATCGGTGCTCTCGCTGAGGACAGCGCAAGCGACGATTACTTGGACTGTGGGGAAATTTTTTTCCTAGCTCGGAGTGTACGCGCTTGTGTGCCCCACTTTAAAACTGACCTTGTGTCACACCTCGTCTTAGTGGAGAGATAGATTAAATACATTATACATTTTTTTTTGATTTTTCTTTTTTTTTTCAGCGATGTCTTTTTGTTTTATTTTGTAAGTTGATCTATAAAATTCTCTAGTGAGACGTAAGAGAAAATAGAATTTTCGATGAGTTAATCTCACTTTAGGTTTCGTGTCATGCTGTACCCGAAAGAAATAAAAAAAAAGAAATAAAAAACAAAGATATCAAAATGTAAATGAAGATAACACCGAAAACGAATCATTGAACAGTTCCATCCTATCACTTTCGTTTTGCGCCATAAGACCTGGTCAACTTGCATGCTGCAAAAATGAAAGCAAAAAGAAAAAAAAAATGTTAAAAAAAAAAGAAACGAAAGAAAAAATAGGGAAGTAATCGTAATTGCCTGTTTTCCGGTAAATCGCCAGCGGTTTATGAGACGAACGTCTCATCAGGTTTAGATATAATGGCTCCAACATTCCCCGTTTTCAAGCGTTTTGCCTCATTGCAGGTGGTTTGCGATTGAGTCAGCAACAGATGCTCACCAAATATATTCTCTTCTCCAAACATATACTGGGATTTACGGTAGATTTTCTTTTCTCCAAGTCATTAGGTCTAAGTTCTCAAACGGCTACAAAGTGAAGTGTCTACTTTCATATTTTACTTTAAGTATTCATGTTATACAAAATATACAGGCGAAAAAATTTTATAGAATGTTCAAAATTTTCTTAGCAATGCAGAATTAAATAATGACGTGAAAAACGGATATCTTTAAAATAAGAAGTCAAACAGAAAGATGAAAATTTAACACAAAGAACAAAAATTGGAATTGCCCGGTTTCGCTTCTCTCTTATTAAAAGCTCTACCGAGGAGAAAGTAAGAAATAAGTAGCGAACACAGCATACAAACGTTAGTATTATACTAATGACTAATGATCATTAGTACTATACTAATGACGTTAGTAATAGACTAATGGCAATATGTTTAAATTTAGATCATACATTAAGCAGTTATCCTTGTATTTAGAGAGAGAAGGCTGCTTAGACTTAAGAAAAATTGCTTTCAACACTTTAAGCTGAATTTGGGTGTGTGATCTGCATACTGTAGGAACATGTTCTCTTGAAACATTGACTACACACATACAATTATCTATAAGGTATTCCGATATTTCAAACCCAGAAGCAACAGACTTATTTAAATTATCAGTCTGCTGATCACTACTACGAAACCTGTCAACAACAATTTGCCATCACTTTTTCTTGGTTTTTGAGTTAATATTTTAAAGATATGCCATTAGTTTGTTTGTTTGTTTTTTTCTGTTAAATTTCATATTTATTTAGGATGTAAAAGATTATTTTCCAGGAGTTCTTTTTGTGGTTTGCCATGATTACATGCGACTGATTTTAGTATGCTTTCACATTGTTTACTTCAAAGTTTTCAGTTGAGTTATATATTCTCTTAGACTGGCCGCCACACCGGGCAAGAAAATCCCAGTTTAGAAAATTAAATTAAAAACCATAAAGAACTAATTATTGCTAAGTGAATGAAACTTTCTTGGAATTTGAACTCGGCATTCCGGTTACATCTTTCCACGCCGATAAGATTAACATTGCTCCAACTGCATATTATTGTAGTGAATTGAAACAAAAAGATTGTGTTTTTTTTTCTTTGTCGTGGCCATTAACTTTTCGATGACAACTGACGGAAAATTACAAGTATATACGATCCCCATCGTGTTACTTACGTTCCAGTTGCGTTCTATTCACGCTGGCTGCGTTTCATTCGCTTTGTTGCATTGATTTAATCTACAACTGTTTCCTCAAGATAAGCCACGTTTATTCAAAAACTTGAAAGTTTTATATTTTTATTTATGCATGCTTTTTTTCAAATACAACTTTAAGAAGACAGTCATACACTCGGAATATTTTAACATATTTTTAAACAATATTACTTTCTTTTTCTTCTATTCCGGAATATAGCTTTTCGTTCACTGTAATAATAATAATAATAATTGTTATTATTATTATTATTAGTAGTAGTAGTAGTAGTAGTAGTAGTTGAGAGAAAAGCGCGATTTAAGAAAATAATATTGAAAATAGTGTTTGACAATGTTAAACAACATTTCAAAAATGTCTCTCTTCTTCAAGGTATATTAAAAAAATTAAATATTTTAGAATTATTAAAATTAAAGTATATTAAAATTTTAAAATATTTGTAAAAATAAATAAAAAACACGGATTAAAAGGTATGTCTCTGTCTCTCTCTCACACACACACACACACACACACACACATATATATATATATATATATATATATATATATATATATATATATATATATATATATAAGCAAATATATGGATATAAATCCGACAGTATGAAAGAAAATACAGAAAAACAAAATTCTGAATATGCATTATTAATGTTAAAAATAAAGTCGACGTCGGACGTTTCGGTCTATTTAAGACCATCTTCATGGACATTTTAATTTAAACATAATGTCCATCGTCTTTGTGTTAAATTGTTATAAGTTATAATGTTAATTATGTTTAAATGAAAATGTCCATGAAGATGGTCTTAAATAGACCGAAACGTCCGACGTCGACTTTATTTTAACATTAATAATGCATATTCAGAATTTTGTTTTTTCTGTATTTTTCTTTCATATATATATATATATATACCTCTCGTTTTATTAAATATTCTATACTAATAACGAGTCGGACCAAATATGCTCTTTGCGAACACTTCAATTCTTCTTTGTATGAATTCGACGATGGCCCAGAAACATTCCTTAGAAATGTCGCTACATTTATTTATAATTATGTCATACAGCAATTCTAGATTATTTGACTGCAGGTCCAAGGTTCGAATCTCCCTTTCCATCATGTTTTAAAGGTGCTTGTTGAGATGCAAATGCAATGACCGTGGAAATATTTAAATCTCCAAAACTTATAAATCTTGCTACAAACACGTCGAAATGAATGAAATGCTTCACGACAAGACAAGCAAAGTTTGTACAAAGATTTCTAAATTATTGTAGATTCATATATTTTTATACTTGAAGGTTATGTTTAAATGACGCTTTTTTTTAATTGTTGAAAAATATTGGAAACGTTTCGTCAGTCATTTTGTACATTAGTATTACATTTATTAATAATATTTATATAATCAGATATACATTCATCTACACAAAAGAATATACCATTGCTTTGTTTTCTTTTTGACAGCGTAAATGCGACCAATATTGGCCGGATGAAGGCTCCCAAGTAGCTGCAGGAATCACAATAGAATGTCTTGGAGTCGATAAGTTGCCTGACTTCACAATACGCACATTTCTTCTGCAGATGGTAAGAATTTATTTTATATCCCAACAATAAAACAGAAAAGATTGATATTTCTCAAACGACAAAAATACAGGACTTATACAAGAAACCGAAGCCCCCAAAACATAAAAGCCAGAAAAAGAACTGAAGAAATAAACATTATCTATAATAAGAAGTTAACAGCATTGAAAAGCTGTAATATTTTTGTTTCTCTTATGGGAACACTATAATCATGCTGTAAATTTATCTCTGATTCTCATTATGTTCCCGTATGTTCTGTTTTATTGCGTTATTAAAATGCTAAACAATTTTTATTAGTATCTCTATAAAATAGTTTCGTGTAATTTTTGCTTCGCCGTTTCAGAGTGGTGTGTCGAAAATTGTCAAGCAATTTCATTATACAACATGGCCGGATCATGGCGTACCTAAATTTGGTAATTCACTAATTTTGTTCCGACAAAAGATACGTGCGTTCGACCGGCTCGACAATGGACCGGTTATTGTTCATTGCAGGTAAGTTCAAATGTATTTTTAAACACAAATTATCTAATACAAACTTCACTCAATTATAGCCAACAATAAGTTAATTGTCTAACAGTCATTAAACTTGATAATTGAATCAACCCATATAGCGAAAAGCCGCGTAAATAACGAAAAATGACAATTTTTCTAATTCCTTCCATATTTTTCGTTGGACTCTCAACCAATTTTCATTAGTCATGACAATTGTTTTATAAATGTATCCACTCTTAAATCCCAGATAGCACACCGACAAATTGAACTTCAAAAACTCCAAAATAATTGTGGTCTTAAGTGCGTCTTCATGTTGCCTGATTTACCCTTTCATGTCCTCGGCTAACTTCTTTTGAATAAATACAAACTACTGTTATATCAGTAACTACATTCATTCAAAATGTCTGTTTGTTTGTTTTAATGAAAGTACTTTAAAGTAATTGAAGATAGGCATTGTTGCATTAAAACATGATACTGTTTTTGCTCCATTCTAATTGAATGCTTTTTTTCTGATCAATCAGTTCGGTGTGGCTTCTAGTGAGAAATAATAATGTATTAAAATAACAGCCATTTATTCTCTTGACGTTACTTGATATAAGTTTTAGATACGAAAATTAAGTTTGCAGAAAAAGGGCTTCTAAAATTCCATCGAGAAATGCGCATTCCCTAAAAATGATGAGTCGTTCACGGCTGAACTCTCAAGTACACCTAATTTAAAGGTGTATGACCCAATTTTGAACCATATCTTTAGGATCAATGGCTTAAATGGGACCACCGAATGACCCGGTGGCTAGACCTCAATTGCCCTAATAATAAATGTTGTCTGCTTAAACGCGTGAACATTTGACGTTTATAACAATAACAAAAATTATATTTATGTATACAAAGGTGAGCATGGGAATGTGTAGTTTGTAGCCAAATCATTTTCTGCATAAATTTGTCGTGTATCAGCAAAGCACACCCGATCATACTTAATTATGACAAGCTTGTTAGCAACTTTTCGGAAATACAATTCTAAAGCGCTCATGAGATGGCCAAAATTTTCTCTGTCCTAATACACTTCATCCATTTTCCGTCCTTGCTTATTTCCAGGCATTTATGTAGTTTGTTTTGTTCTTCCTTTTACGCAATCTTTATAATTCAGTTTTGATGTCCAACAAATTTTACATCAGTCTAACCCTAACATTAACCTTTATTCTTCAAAACATTGGCTATTAACCTTTCGCGACAGCACCATTTCCCTCTGTCTTTGACTAGCTCATTGTCTCGACCTTTCAGAATCATTTTTGTTATTTGCCTTGCATTTTTTATCTCTTTTTTTCTGACTCGAAATATTGCATTTTCAATTACTTTGTTATTCTGTTTCCTTATTCATTTAGAGACATTTTATTCATTTCATTATCCCGCTGGAAAATATTTTCTTCTGTGAAATATTTTTTCGCATCGCATTCTTTCCGAATCTCTTTCCCTATCTCTCTCTCTCTTTCTCTCTCTATTTATCTCAATAATTTCTTAGATCTATCTATCTATCTATCTATCTATCTAAACCTCTGTCTGCGTCCCTGTCTCTCTCCCTCTCTCTCTCTCTCAACACACACATACATATATATATATATATATATATATATATATATATATATATATATATATATATATATATATATATATTCAGTCAGGTGATACATTTTTAAGTATCTATCTCAATGAGTTTATAGCTCATTTTTTAGCTGTCTATATCAGCCTAATCATATCTATCTATAATCCATCTATCTATCTATCTATCTATCTATCTATCTATCTATCTATCTATCTAAATGTATGTCTCCTTCTCTCACTTTTTTCTCTCGACACACACACACACACACACACACACACATATATATATATATATATATATATATATATATATATATATATATATATATATATCAGGCGTTTATATATTTCAGTCAGATGTTACGTTCTTTTTAAGTATGTATTTCATTTTCAGTTCATACCTCATTTTGTTTTAGATATCTATCTCAGCCTCTATCTATCTATCTATATATCTATCTATATATCTATCTATCTATCTTGTCTAATTATATGTACATATTTGGGGTTTCAAAATACTCTGTATACCGTATTAATCTGAGCTGAAAATATTCAAATACGTTTTCGTTATTCAAAAATGTTTTTATATGTCTGTCTCTCGACATAGCTAAGCTAGCTCATTCGCATCTGATCTGTTCCAGATTTTCAGTATCTGTCTATCTATCTATTTTCTGTAAAATATCCATCTATAACTGTATGTGTTAGTATTTCTCTTTGACAATCTCACTCATTCTGTCTTTCCGTCATTATCGCTTTACATTTATCTCACTTGCTTATAAACTACACATCAACAATTTTACTTTTATGAACTGACTTTAATTTCATTTAAAACAAGAGGAAATAAGGTCAAAGACAGATTAAGATAAATGTGTTACAGCCTAACGGTCTTGAAGCCAGCAGTTGAGAACTCGTCGTTGTCATGGGTTTCAGTAAATATATCATTTTAGCACGTCTACTTAACACTTAGTTTCACGAGATCAGAACCTTCTCTCTATATGTAGACATGGGTCCTTGCTCTGAAGTTCAAACCTTGTCACTTTTCTTTTCCTTCTCCCTTAAACAAGGAAAATGAATTCGCATTGTATATGATTTGTTGCTGGAAGACTTTTAATCTTAAATCAATTCTAAATTTCTTGTTCAATTCGGAAATAAGTGAAACTTTATTTTGAATATAATTTTGCCCGAACAGATATCATGACACCCACCGTGCACACACACACACACACACACACACACACACACACACACACACACACACACACACACACACACACTACACTGAATAAAATGGATCAGGAGCTAAAGTTTTCTTCTGGGGAACAATATGCACCTAATCCAACAGAATTATCAATGTTACTCTGATTATTATGAATAAAATTCAAAATAATTTATTTTCCTACATTAACTGCCGAAAAGACTAAAACTGCCTAACCTGAGTAATTACTGACTGTACGTTCCTGTGATATATATATATATATATATATATATATATATATATATATATATATATATAAGGATATTAAAACTGCATGTAAAAATCGCTACACAATTGCAGTTCTGTTTCAACACATACCAATTCGTCTCCTCAGATGATTGTAAATTACTGGCGCGTGAACCATTAATTTGAATTCAATAGCAAAATACATCCGCTTTTTTTCAGTAAAGAAAGAAAACAAAAAGGCTTTGGAGCTTTACCGATCCAATATGGCCTACGTTCAACTCAAATGAAATGAAGATGAAAAACAACAATTTTCTAAGAAATGGGTCATGATCGTGAATTATTTGTCGACAGCCGCCAGACATTAAATTAAAGACATATACATTTTGTAAACGTTTGTATCAATGTCAGACAGTCAGCTTTCCCAAGAAATAAAAGAGGTTTAGAGGGGTAATTTAACCTAATGCAAGTTTGTATATGCTTTGTGGATTTCCTGCATAATTTTTTGCAGTTGATAAATAATAAGCCTCTTAGACAAATTAATAACTAATTCAAACGTATGGAATTCTTTAGTAAATATTAATTTACTAAAGTAATGCAACTGTTAAAAAAACATCATCCATATAACATATTAATAATACCTACCAGTCAAAGTTAAAATGTCAGAAATGCAAACTATCCACTAATACATTCATTTAAAATGTTAATAATACTAATAGGGGATTAACAGAGAACTGTATTAAATCTGAATAAATATTACAAATAGAAATAATAAGAAATATATGGTGCAACGCAGTTCAGCTAAAATATAAGCAAAATCTTTATCAAATTCCAAATTTTAACTAAATTTTAAGGTAACAGGTTGATTATGTCTACAATTTACAATTAATTCCCTCCTTAGATTTAATACGGAATTCTTATCAGAAAATCTAATAATTTCCAATTTTTCCTGCAAACAATGGAAACATAGTTCATAGAAAGATCTACATATGAATGATATCACTGAACTGTTCGAAGACAAAAACAGGTCAGGAAACTAAAAACATGCGGCAGTTTAATCCCGGCTCAAAATCCGAGAAAAGAAATACCTTCCACTAGCATGTGTAGATTTTGCATCAAATGAACTGCAAGGTTTCGAAAAAGTGCTAAGATGAAGGAAAATATGAGTTTTAGTTCGAGTTCTAAATATCATATTTTACACAAAAATAGGTAGTGGTACTATCGATATATGTTTTATTTCTGGGGAGGTTAAAATTCAGACAAAATTTTAAACGCTTTCACTATACATAAAAATGTCTTCTACAAGAGTATCTACCGTTATTATATCATTAATTGTCCTTCTCTTCTTCATCTTTTTTCT